TTGGGTTTATTTCTTCGTTTCTTTTTATGGCTTTCTCTGTTTCAATTCTTCACATTGATTTCTTCCGTTTGTCTTTTCTTCTGTTTCTTTGTTTTTCTTTTTCTTTTTTGTTGGGTTCTTCAATTTTATTTTATTTCTTGTTGATTTTCATCAGTAAAAATGCTTTGTACGTCCTCTAAACGTACTATGTCATGAGCACCTATGTATGTGATGATTCAATAGTGTTGTTTAACTGTACATATGCTAGCTAGCTGATCAACTGAAGCACAGCACCCTTCACACAATAAGCCCATTACGAATTGACGTTGAGCTTCTCGATCCACACCCCTCACATCCAGAAACGCAATGCAAGATTAAGGAGCCCTACGTTGTTGAGCTCATGCGCCAAGGCGACCTCGATCGATGATCAGCGACCCCTTGTCGGCACCTACGCAGGCTCATGCAGCTCAGCTCATAGAAAGACGCAACCTCATTTGCACTTACAGAAACATCCACTTGTAGATCTCAAGAACGAATGCATCAGGACATACGTTATGGCTTAGTACCATCATATACTTCATCAGTGCCAAAATATAAGACGTTTTTGCAGTTCAAAAGGTAGAAACAAGCAAGAAAGAATCAGTCAATACTAGACGCAAGCCATGTGGATGGTGCAGAATACAATAGAAACCTGTGCAGAAGGCACGCAGCAGCACCAGTAGCAGCAGGTAGAGGTGCGCCAAGCTCCTCGATCTATTCTAAACATCCACTCGCCCACCCAACTAGCTGGCTAGCTACTCTACACGCTCGACGACGATCGAGCTGAACCAAATCCAAGACCCTCTGTCCCTTCTTGCTCATCTCCCTGGCGCAAACGCTGATCACTTCTTGCGCTCTCTCCCCTACGGTCGATGGCTAGCTGGTGGTGCTGAACTTAATTGCAAGATCAGGGGCATTGATGATATCGTCACTAGACTGCAGGGACCTTCATTTGAGTCACACAAGCGAAGAACAAATCTTCTGCTGAAGGAGATCTGAGCGGCGGTGGATCCAACTGAAGGAGAAGACCCTCCTGCTGCATACAAAAAACTAGGTTGTTTTGAAATAAATCGGTGATTTTGATCACACTGCATAAAAACTAAGTTATAGATTTGATGACTCGCAATAGAGCCTTTGTCATATGAAGCGCATTGGGGCTGAAAAATCTCATGAAGCTGAAGCTATATGGCTCCAGGATATTGGAGCATGATTCTGCCATACAGGTCTTGGGCAAGCTACCCAACCTGACCTTCCTAACTCTACGCTACAAGTCATTCGTGGGTGAGCAGGTCCATATCAAGTTCCACAGGGAGGAATTCCTGAGTCTGGTGGTGCTGGAAGTGTATCTCCAAGAGCAGGTCAAATCATTTGAGTTTGAAGAAGGAGCAACCCCTAAGCTCGAGCTATTGCGGTACTGTGGTTATCCTTCACAGTGCAACATCGGGTATTTTGTTGGGCTACAATATCTCCCAAGCTTCAGGGAATTCATGCTCAGTGACTACTATCGCTACTCCGAGAGTAAACACAAGGATGACTTCCTGGGCGACTTGCAGGCCCAGATTTCACAGAATATAAATCGGCCCGTTCTGAACCGCGCTTTTAATTTCTGTTGAACTAGCATTGTAAACCGCACATTTGTGTAGCTAGATTTATTGTAACATTGTTGTGTTTGGTGCTTTTATGGGGTATTTCATCTCTTGCAACTCTTTATCCAATTTGATTTGTCGAGACACTGGATTTGGTAACTTTCACTCCTATATACAGAAGGCGCTGGAAATCCTCAAAAGAAATTCTGGCCATTGATTTACCACATGAGCATGTCACAATCGATGGATTTGTGAAACATTGCAAATGCCTCCCTTTTCCTACCCTATAGCAAATGATACATGATTGAAGGGAACAAAAAAAATAACGTACCGCTCTGCTTGTGCGGCAGGAAGTGCAGACCAGAGAGCGCCGGGGCCGAAGACGCCGCTGCAGCCTCCAGTTTGCTTGCTGGCAGGCAGGTGGGACAGCCGTTCAGGCAGCTTGATTGAGGAGACCGCGACGAAGGCGGCGATCGTCATGGCGTTGAGGGGCCGGTGTGTTAGAAGTAATCTTGTTATTAGCACTAGTTTAGATTATTTGTTTGTTTTTGTTGAGTCATGCATTTAGTCCAAGCTGCGGCAGGGTGTGCACGTTAAGTTGTGCAAAGCTGATCAGTAGAGTTGGTTATTCAGTTGAGATGAAGTCAGTAGAGAATGGATGCATGTGCTGTGCGGGCGTCCATCAGGTTTGTAGCACGCATGACCGGCTGAGTAGCTGTTAGGAGGCGAGGAACTACCTCAGAAGAGTGGCGCCGGCTGAGAGGTGTAGAGCCCCGGATTGCTGCGGTAATGGTCGACGTGAGGGGACGACACAGTGTCGCGCGACCTCACCTCACACCCTGCTTTCCGTTGCCTCTCCACGAATGACGCCACTGACTTTGATGGGATGACCCGATCGGCGGAGCTGTATATGTACAGCTGAGGGCAGTTTGGTTGGTTTGAGGCCAAAACCTCCATAACACCAGACTGCCTCCATGAAAACAAAATGTTGATTAACTGGACCATGTAGTGATGTACTGCATTTAGGACATGACCTGTGACATTGTTATACTATTTCCAGCAGAATAGGTAGTTTCCAATCATTTATGACCGAACGCCAGTCAAATCATGAGCCATTCCATGTTATACAATGGAGAATGGACACCAATAACCTGATGAAGCTTCCTGTCAACGCACAGATATGTTGACTAACAGCACCATGTCACAGTTTCCTGAATTTACCACAGATTGTGTGGCTTTCTTGCACTATTTCTGTAATATAGATAATTTCTTATATTTTTGGTATCAAAAGTCAGTTACATCATAAACCATGATCGATGAAAACGAGAGAACTGATGCAATCACCTACAAACAATGAACTCTTCTACAAGTCAGATGCTAGACCAACAGATTCATTGAAAAGGCATAGAGAATTTGGACGTGTCCACATGGCTTAAAATGCATCGTCGAGCCTGTTGGGCGCACGGATGCAAACAGACAATCATCTCCGCCTGGCCAACCCAAACGGATAAAAACCGGACAAAATGGACGCCCGTTTGGGTCACCGTGTTGGAGTTGCCCTTAGTAATTTGATGCGAAAACCCCATCTTAAGAAAGGCATGCAGAGCAGCTCCAAGTGTTGGTTTAATTAGCACGCTAATTCTTGCCATACGTCGTGGTAGAGTAAAGCAAGATTCGGCTAAAAAAAAGTTTATCAGCTTGCCCGCGGTGCTCTAAAAGTGAAAGATTATGTTCTAAAAGTGAAAGCACTGATTAGTGATAACCCCTCCTCGGGAGCACACCACATTCTTGCCGTGCTCCTTTCTCGGATTCCTTCTTCCATCAGGATTTACATATACTCCGCTCTGCTCTGTCACCAAACACGAAACAAGAAACAATCCAAAGCCAAAAACCATGCCCTCCTAAACCACCCCTGTTCCTGTTGTCTTCCATCCCACTCATCTCTCATCCATCAAGAAGCAAGAAACAATCCAAAGCCAAACACTTTATCCTCCTAAACCACACACCTGCTGTTTTTTTTCCATCCAATCATAAAGAAGAGAGAGACCCGGAGACAACGAGTAGGGTCGCGACTAATGGCCGAGTCGGCCGTTAGCATCGTGCTCGGCAATGTCAACGCACTTGCAGTTCGGGAGACCACAATGTTGTGTTGTGTCACCCTCGAAGTGGAGCTCCTGAAGGACGAGCTCAAGCGGCTACGAGGCTTCCTTAGAGACGCCGACAACAAATGGAGGCGGGGAGATGAAAGTACTGCTGTCTTGGTCGGCCAGATCAGAGAAGTGGCGTATGATGCTGACAATGCCATCGAAGCCGCTGAGTACATGCAGAAGAGAAACAGATTGAAGAAGGGGTTCATGGGTACCATTTCAAGGTATGCTCGCCTACCAAGTGATTTGACTAACCTTCACAAAGTTGGTGTTGAGGTCCAACGCATCAAAAGGAAGATTTCTGATATATTTGAAAGTGCAAACCGTCTTAAAATAGTTGATTTGGGGAATACCTCAACAGAAAATCTTCAAGTTGATGGTGAACTCCCACAAGAGTATGGGCCTATGCACCAGAACTTTGAAGATGTTGTCATGGTTGGTTTTGAGGATGATTACCAGGAAATAGTGGGGAAACTACTTGATATAAAGGGGACAGTCTTAGTGTTGTCTCCCTAGTTGCCATGGCTGGGGCGGGGAAAACAACACTTGCTAGAAAATTCTACACTTCAACTAGTGCCAAACAACATTTTGAGATAGTTTCTTGGGTGACGGTGTCTCAGAAGTACAAAGGAATTGATTTACTAAAAGATATTCTGAAACAAATCACTGGAAGCACATTTAGGTCAGCTGATCAAATGCAAGAGTATGAGGTGGCAAAGATGATTCATGATTTTCTATCCCAAAAAAGGTACTTAGTAGTTCTTGATGATGTGTGGGAAACAGATACATGGGAAATATTAAACAGAACAACTAGAGCCTTTCCAGATGCAGAAAATGGTAGCAGAATACTTATAACCACACGAAAAGAAGATGATGCAAATCATGTTCAAATGCCAACCCATGTTCATCCTTTGAAGAAGCTAGATGAGCAGAAAAGCTGGGAACTTTTTAGTAGCAAAGCCTTACCATCATACAAGAGGTCTGTCATACATGATGTGGATGAGTTTGAAAAACTTGGGAGAAAGCTTGCAAGGAAATGTGGTGGATTACCACTTGAACTTGCAGTATTGGGGGGTTACCTATCAAAGAATTTAAATGCACAAACATGGTCTGATATACTATTGGATTGGCCATCGACCAAAAATGAGCAGATGATGCGAAACATGCTAGCTCGCAGTTATTGGGACTTGCCAAATCATTATTTAAGATCTTGCTTCCTCTATATTGCTGCTTTTCCGGAGGACTCCATGGTATATGTGTCAGATCTTACCCAATTATGGATAGCAGAAAGCTTCATTCCACACATACCAAATCATACACTAGAAGAAACAGCATATAAGTATGTAACTGAGCTGGTCGAGAGAAGCTTGGTACATGTTGTTGAAACAAGCATGGCAGGTGGAAGGATTGCGATAATAAGGATTCATGATATCTTACATGACTGGTGCAAGGAAGAAGCAAGACAAGATGGCTTTCTTGATGGAGTGGATAAAACTACTGGTCAGGGCTTCGTTTCTTATCTCTTATATATTACTATATAGTTTCATTTTTCTATTTTAATATATGTCTGTATATATGGGTAGCTTCTTCCTGACATATCGTCCACTCTAAAAACAATTACAGGACGAGCTGGTGCACAATTATCATCGGCTAACTTGGCATCCTATCGTTCTACTTTTCAAAGTTTGAGTAATGTGATCTTACCTGGAGCACCTAATGTCAGAACTCTGTTTGGCTTTCAACTTGAATCAGTATCCCTTCCTAGGTTGAGGTTCCTAAGAGTTCTTTACATTGAAGGCTCAACATTGAGAGATTTCTCCACAGTGATTGGTGGCTGCATTCACCTAAGATACCTTAAGTTGCATTGCTGTGGAGGTGTAATGCTACCTTCTTCAATAGGCCAGCTCCTTTACTTGCAGACTATTGATCTAAGAGACACAAAACTGGACTCACAAGTACCACAGTCCCTCTGGGAGATCCCTACTCTAAGGCATGTTTACCTCACCGATGGGTTTTCTCCACCACCGCCTGCAAGGAGTGTGCGGCAGCATCATAAAGAGCTCCAGACCTTGTTTTGGGATGTTTCAGATGTTGGCAGTGAATGCTGCTACCATGACATGGAGATTTTATTGGGCCAGATGGGTCAACTAACGACATTATTTTTGGTGATGTCCCCCATGCCCTCCGAGGTGTTTAACATACTTGCACACATGCCTCACCTTGTTGATATTTCTCTCAGCAACTTTGGTGTGCTCGATAAGTTGCCTGCTGAGCTCCCACGGGGTGTCAAGCGTCTTCGTCTCTGTGCCCATGTCATTAAACAAGACCCGATGCCGATCCTGGAGAAGCTTCATTATCTTGTGGTGCTAGAGTTGTCGGGGTACGAAGGTCAAACGATGTTCTGCTCTGCCCAAGGGTTTCCTCGGCTGCAAGAGTTAAAACTTGTTGGTTTTTCAACTGATGATTGGAGGATCGAGGTAGGAGCAATGCCAAAGCTTTCCGACCTGACTCTTCGGGAATGCAATCGCAAGCTCCCCGAGGGGTTTCTACACCTTCCGTCCCTCAATCACCTGACGTTGTACAGAATGCCCCAGATTTCCGAAGATGACAACACACTAAAGGAGCTCGAACGGAAAGGATGTCAGCTACATACTTATATTGCTTAAGCTTAATCAAATTGCTCTCTCCTTGCATTTAATTTGCTACCTGTAGACGTGCATATGTCTATCTGTGCACAAGTTAATTAGTTTTATTCTTTGATGAAACAAAAAGTAAATTAGCTTCAAATAATGACTTGCATCAATCTATATATGCTGCACTGCAGCAAATAAATGCTAATGTTTTTTTGCTATAGTCTTCATTGATGTTAATTAGCAGTACCACAAGATCAACATTCAACTAAGTTATTTCTTATGAATGATTTTTGCACAGGTGGAATCTTTATGAGACAGGCGAAATCAAAGAATATTTCACCAGGATGGATCGATGAACACTGCACATCCTTCCAAGTTCCAACTGCATGTTGTGTGATGTATTCGAACAATAATAAAATGCTTCGTCATCGAGGCGATGCAATGAGTGATGAGTGTGTGTGTGTTTCTTTTTCTGATATATGTACCGTGGCTTTGCCTGTTCATGTATTGTGTATTACCTGATTTGTGCTGTACTATTGTATATTACCTGGTTTTTCTCTCTTTTCACAATCAATGAACAATGGCTTCTCTTGATTCAAGTTTGTATAGCTAACTGTTATTGTGTGCATCAAAATTACCTGTGCATGCATCAGATGTAATTTTGTTTATCAGATTTGGTATACACCAGCATCATTTGATCCATTGCACTTGCTGCTGCAAACCACCAGGAAATTACCTCCCTGATTGCTTAATCCGATCCTTTTAAAACCTTCGGTCAAGCACAACAGCAGACGTCTGAATATTTCCTTTGACAGTAAGAGTTCTGAATGTTGGGTACATCAGAAACAGCTTCTTGTCATGTGAACATAGCTTTGTTCAGTAGCCACAAGAAATTTGCATGATCACAGCCCGAACCCCACACAGAGAGACAGTAACCAGTCGTCAGAGTATGCACAAAGAAACCAGCACATCTCCCATCCACACAAATAAACCGTCTGTGCACTGGAACCAACAGCAAGCCAACCACAATTTTGTTTTGCTTTTCTTCTCACGTTTTTTTACAGTTGTGCCTCCTAACATAAACCCACAAGCGAACCAACAAGGAACGAGTAAATTGGGTCAGATGTATAATTAGCCGATGTATAATCCTGGTACATTTCAATGGACCACCAGGAAAAAATATGGTGGTATTCATGCAGAAACACCCTATGCAGACGGTGACGGTGACGACAAATCATCACGGCGGGCCAGCACACAGTCCTCCAAGAAGTTGGTCAGCTGAGAGGTGTAGAGCCCCGGATTGCTGCGGTAATGGTCAACGTGAGGGGACGACACAAAGTCACACGACCTCACCTCACACCCTGCTTTTCGTTGCCTCTCCACAAATGACTCCACTGACTTTGCCGGGATGACCCGGTCGGCAGAGCTGTATATGTACAGCTGAGGGCAGTTTGGTTGGTTTGAGGACAGAAGCTCCATAACACCAGACAGCCTCCTGTAAGTAAAAATATATGAAATGTTGATTAACTGAACCATGTAGTCATGTAATGCTGCATTTAGGACATGATATATGACATCATTACACTATTTCTATAATAGGTAATTCCTTATTATTTGTGATCAAATGTCAGGTTTAACATTAGGCATGCCATTTTGGGAAACAGAAGTACTGGTGAATCACATGCATGGTTTTTACTGAATGTGCAACAGATGCTATGGCATTCGTACACCCTCTGTAACAGGTCTTTTGTTATCAAAGCTCTGTTACAACATGAGCCATGGCATTTGGCAAGATATAATCGATGATGACAGGAACACTGATGACTCATCAAACAAACAATGAACTCTTCTATGAGTAAGATGCCATGCCTCACATTTAAAAACGGATCTACTGAAAAAGCTTAGAGAATTTGGATATTGTCCAAAAGGCTGAAAATGCACAGAACTCCTACTCCTGCATATGTGGATGAGCTGCATACCTATTTACGGCCGGATAGTTCAGAACAAGATCAAAAAACTTCTCCAATGCAGATAGTAGAACCGCCTCGGTAGCTGCTGGTCTGATATCTTTCTGAGACTCCACAACTACGACGTCAGACCTTGTATTTGGTGCAGCTCCTTTCGTCGCCACACTGTGTTTCTTCATGATAGCAGCTGAGAAACCTAGAGCCCACACCTAAGTTCAGAAAAAGAGAACAACAATTAAATAACAATGTTTATGTTCGAACAAACCGTTGTCCTGCGTGTTGTTCAAAAATAATAATTGAGGAACAGAGTAAATGACAGATATGCAAATGAAGAAGGATAAAACACAACTGACGACACATTCGTTCGGCATAAACAACAAAATTTGGATGTCCAGAATTTACAAAGAGGATTCTTTTTATAGGATTTCCAGTAACCACATAATACCATTCACGTGAGGTTAGCTAGAGTTTTTACCTGAGAGTCCGGGACAGCAACAGGCGCTGAATCGATTATGGAACCCTTGATTTTCTCCACTGCTGAAGGATCCTGCCGCTGCAGGTTCTCCAGTATCACACCATAGCTACACAAGGAGCAGCACAAAGCAGTAGTAAGCTCAAAATCCCAAGGTTTCAGTAAATTCTTGATGCAAGAAATCCAAACAAAGTGCACATACCAAAGCCAGCCAGTGTTACTGAAAGTGTGGAAAACAATCTTCTTCCCATCCTCCTCCCTGACCCAATCACCAAGATGTTCCGAGAGCATCTCCACATTCTTCTCAGCCTTCCCTCCGACATTGTAGCTGACAATGTCGGACATGGGGAGGGTGAAGGTGACGGCGTGGAACCCCCTGGAGGTGTACCAATCGGCATATCTCTTCAGATGCTTCTGCTTCGAGCCCAGCCAGCCGAGCAAAACCACCACCGTCTGGGACCTGTCAGGCGAGCCGCCGCACGCCCTCGGGTCCGGCAGGTGCCAGCGGTACAGAACATCCGAGGAGGAGGAAGGGATGGCCGGTAACGCCGCCTCTTGTTCCGGTGAGGTCTTGGCGAACTTGGCGTACTGGTAGACGGTCTGGATGACCGGCAGGGACGCGACGGGCGCCTTAGCCGGGTAGAAGGCCTGGAGGTTCCGTGGGAAGAACTGCAGACCGGACAGCGGCGGGGCTGAAGGAGCTGTGGTGGCCTCTGTTTTGTTGGCAGGGAGCGAGACGACGTCGTCGGGGAGCCTGTGGTGGTGGGAGAATTTGTCGGGCAGCTCGATGGAGGAGACGGCGGCGAAGGCGGCCACCGCCATGGCGGAGAGGGGCCGGTGGAAGGATGCCATATCCCTTTTGGTGCCTCTCAGCAATCAATCAATCAGATTCTGCCAATGAGTAGGAGGAGGGGGAGCTGGTGTCTGTTATCTACTTGTCCTTCCTTCCCCTGCTGCCCTGAGTCATCATATAAGAAGAAGAAAAGCAATGACAGAGAATGAGATTTGGGTGTCGGTCCTGTCACGCAGGCAGGCGGTTGGCATAAATCAAGTTGAATTGAAGTGGATTCAAGCAGCGCTGGAAATAGGGAGGAAACATGTGTGCCACGAGATTTGTGTGCCCCAACAAACCCGGACCGTGTGTGGTGTCCTAACGTCTTTGTCAGGGTCAACACAAAGACACATGATGTATAATACAGTAACAAAGAAAAAGATTGGGAATTTGTTTGTTGCCGCTTACCTCGTTGGTCCTGCGTGGCCGGAGAAGTTGGGGGCGGCGGAATTGTGGGCGTGGACGGCAGCCGGTGCCTGCCCGCCTGCTTCCTTGCTCCTGCAGCCAAATAATTTTGAAAAGAGAAAAACAATTACAGGTGTATCTGACTGAGGAAATCGTGAAATAAAAGGTGTAATCTGACTGGTCTGCCTCGTGGCATCCACAGCCACAAGGAGGAGGTGGGGTTCGCAGAAGAGGAAAACAATCTTTTTTATGTTGGTTGATGAAGAGGACGGTGACAGCGATGGATGGATGGATTTGCGTGCGTACGCGGCCCGCGCTGGCGTCAACGTTGCTTTGAGGGATTGCGGGAAAGAAAGAAACACGCTTTGGCTTTTGCTTGCTCCGCCATTGCTGGATTGCTGGAACAGGGGAGGGGAAATCTCCATCTTTTTCCAGGAAAGCTGGAGGAACAAGAAGAAGAAGCCAGATTTCTTTATTCCGGGAAGTGGAAGCGGGGGATTCGAGTGGCGGCGGGAACCAAATCGAAACCATGGAAAACACCGAGAGGGAGGAGATTCGGCCGATTCCGGCGAGGAGATGGGACCCAACCCAAACCAAAGCAGAAGGATGCGGTGATGGCGGGAGGAGGAGGAACGTACCAGGGAGGGAGCGGTGGAGGCAAGGAAGGAAGGGGATGAATCTGGCTGCCTTCTTCTTGTGGGATATAGAGGGAGCGAGCGAGCAATCTGGGAAGGGAAGGCGAGGAGATAAAAATAGGCGGCCGAGTTTGAAGCGAAGCGAAGGGATTTGGGGGCGGCGGCGGCCAAGTTTGAAGGGAATCGAGGGAGGGAGGGAGGGCGACGGCGCCGTCGCTGCCCGGACCTCTGCCCCTTCCTCTGACTCTGGGCTGCGCGTTCCTTCCAAGTTGAATGGCACCGGCCTATCTCTCTATCCATCCGTCCGTTCGTCCGTCCATTTGGCACCGTCCCTCGGTATGGCTAATTTCCTTTTCTTTTTCTCTTTCAATTATTACGCTTGCTCGTTTCAAATAGACGTAGCATCAAATATCCTTACCATGAAATCCCCCCCAAAAAAAAACTCCCCGATGAATGGTTATTGAGGTTGCCCATCAATTTTTTTTCCCAAAAATCTGTTTTTTTTCTACCCCCGCCCCCTCTCTCCCGGATGGTGGCGTGGTCGGCTTCGGCTGTGAGCAGGAATCGGCAGCAAACAACATGTAGATGGACAATGACAATAGCATGATTGCGGTCGAGAACACTACCGCCAGCTGCACATCCTGCAGGCCGCCAAACAACATTGGCTGCGGCAGTGGCATGAGGAGAGTGCCATCACATCCACGTCCACCGGCAACGGACAGTTCGTGGACTCTGACGGGGCGGTGTGTCCTCTAGTCCCTAATAGTGCGGCAAGTCTTCCATGTACTGCTCTTGTTCGCCAGCAACCACACCTTCACTTCGCAGGTCTTATCACCGTCGCTCACCTGATGGAGACGCGCGAGATGAACCGGGCCATCACTGGAAGGCAATAACAAAGACATGTGGGACAAGCATCGGCGTAGGCTAGATTTGTGTCCGCTCGCTCTTTTTAGTTAAAAATATTGTAAATGTAATGAATGTGCACCGGTTTACATAAAAATCATTCGCTTTGAAATATATGCGGCTACGGTTGGATGGTCAGCTTCCACATCAGTGTCCACCGACTGGTCTTCTCCGGTCCATGGACAGATACGTTATCCGGGTTAAAAGACAGCGTTGGAGATGCCCTTGCAACTTTGTTAGCATTATTTGAGGCACTAAAGCCAGGCATGGTGGCATTTTTCTTAAAAAAAAGTATGTGGCGCCTTTATTTCTAAGGCCGATGTATCCCCCTTGTTCCATGGGATGTCCTGTCCTACCCAAGAGCGATACGAATACGAATATGTAGGCAAGAGAAATAAATAGTCTCCCACGAAGGAATGTGAGCACATGGAAGGAAAAGCAGAAGGTGACATTGTTTTGTGTGACACGCGTGCTAGCCGGATGACAAAGGGATGCTCATCTCGCATGAGTGTAGCAGTCCCAATATCCCAGATTTATATTCCCGGGTTTATCTACTTTTGCATGAATAGCAAATCCCAAAAAATATTATGGCCATACAACATCGAAGGAGCTCTGGAAAGAAATAACAGAACCGAAGCTTAAAAACGGTTAGAAAATTTAGATTTTTGGACAACTGATTTTGTAGCATACGTGGACAAGGCGGCCAATTAAAAGCCACGAATAATAACACCTCGGGAAATTCTGTAAAAAGAAAAAAGAAAAGTATGTTTTTGGTCTCTTAAGTTCTACAAAAATATAGACTTGGTCCATCAAGACTTTTTGATACATATTTGTTTAGATACGGAGGTATCTAGCACTAAAATTAGTGCTAGGTACCTCCGTATCTAGACAAATCCAAGACAAGTAATTCGGAATGGAGGGAGTAGATCTTTAAAAAGATCCGTCGGCCGATGCCTAGCACTCCTTTTTTGTTGGCACGCGAACTAATAGCATATGCTATTTGCAAATTGAATCAAGCATATGCTATTTGCAAATTCCGAAAGCTACACATGGATTCTCCTCGCCGCGCCGCCTTGTGAAGGAAGCTTGGCACATGCGCTGATGCGCACCTTGGCTCCCATGGAATCTCGGAGGAGCACAGTACAGCCGCGATATCTCAGGAATATTCCTCCTCCATTTCTCCTCTGGTAGCCACGGACGAGAGAGCTACACGGCACGAGCACAAACAGGGAGCTATCATACCACCACCAGTGAGTGGGACGCCGTCTCAGCAACCGTGAAATACGGCGTCTGTCCTCTCTCCAACTCACAGCAGCAAAACACGGAAAGAAGAACAACCAAGAGGATGTGATCCTAAATCCTGCCGCAAAGCTATTCTTTTTTTTTCCCGGTCCATGCGTGCGAAAGTAATTAAATAACTCCAGGCTTCAATCCCCGACCGCCGTGACAGAGATGGAGTCCGCCTTGTCTGTCGGCATCCCTTCATCGGCTCCATCTTACAAGGCGGATAACATCGCCCGGAAGTTGTGGCGACGTCGACAGCAAGAGAGGGAGGCGGCCGCGGCGTCGCGGGGAGGTTCAAACATGGTGGAGCACTTGCACTAATAGAAAATGGAGCTTTATTACCGGTTCGTAAGGGCCTTTAGTGTCGTTTCTGCAACCGGCACTAAAGGATGGATGTCGGTGTCAAAACCGGCGGATCTCGGGTAGGGGGTCCCGAACTGTGCGTTTAGGATCGATGGTAACAGGAGACCGGGGACACGATGTTTACCCAGGTTCGGCCCTCTCTATGGAGGTAATACCTTACGTCCTGCTTGATTGATCTTGATGAATATGAATGTTACAAGAGTTGATCTACCACGAGATCGTAATGGCTAAACTTTAGAAGCCTAGCCTGTATGACTATGGTAATGAATATATCCTTTCCGGACTAACCCCTCCGGTTTATATAGACACCGGTGGGATCTATGGTTTAGATAAAGTCAGTTACATAAGAAGAAATCTTCATAATCGGTCGCCAAGCTTGCCTTCCACGCCAAGGAGAGTCCAATCCGGACACAGGTACAGTCTTCGGCCTTCATGTCTTCACAGCCCATCAGTCCGGCGCATGGATAACAGGCCGGATGCCCGAGGACCCCTTAGTCCAGGACTCCCTCAGTAGCCCCTGAACCTAGCTTCAATGACGAGTAGTCCGGCGCGCAGATTGTCTTCGGCATTGCAAGACGGGTTCCTTCTATCCGAACTTCAAGATAGTCTTCGGATGCGATGATAGTATCCGGACCTGTCACACACACCATACAATCCGCAGAGAGAATATATTTTTACACGAGTTCCATCCGCTGACAACTTTTTCGCAGCACGATATTACGTCTGACCGGCCATAATTCCAAACCGCTTTCATGTTTCGACGCACCACGTCCCGAGACACGGTTGCCATTGGCACGTCTTGTCAAAGCAGAGATCGTGTCCCCTTATCGCGGGATTCTCATCAATGCGGGCATGGATAACTCAACCGTGCCGTTTATACAGCCCTTGGGAATAGGCGAATCTTAAGGCGAGTGAGGAGGCGTTTAATATTCGCTGCCTTTATAAGGGGATAAGGATTCCCTCTTCCTCTCTCACGCCCTCTCTTTGTCTCCGCCTTCCCAATCTCGAGCTCCAGCGCCCAAGTTCTCATCTCCTTTCCACTCAAGCAACCATATCCGGATCCGGAGGCTAGGGCAAGTGGATGGTCTCCTTCGTCAAGGAGGGGGACATTACTGAGCTTTGAGCGGCCGAATATTTGGCGAAGGAGATAGCTCACCGCCTGCTGACCGAGGGACAAGTTGTCCCCACGCCGAAGCGCACCGAGAGGATAGTGTTCATCCCCCATTTCTTCCGCGGGCTAGGGTTTCCACTCCACCCTTTCGTCCGCGGGCTGATGTATTATTACGGGATAGATTTCCGTGATCTGTCCCCAAATTTCTTTCTCAACATCTCGGCATTTATCGTCGTGTGTGAGGCCTTCCTCCGCATCCAACCCCACTTCGGGCGGTGGCCCAAAGTCTTTAACGTGAAGCCGAAGGTGGTGGATGGCCAGCACGCGGAGTGCGGAGGAGCCATGGTGAGCAAACTGTCCAATGTCTCCTGGCCCAAAGATACTTTTATAGACACGTTAAAGGAGTGCAGAAGCAGTGGTTCTACATCACAGAACCTCGCGGCACCACCTGGGCCACAGCTGCCGAATTCCGCTCCGGCGCTCCCATGCGACTCACTTCCTGGGTCGAGAAGAGTCCGGACTGGTGTTCACCTGACGAGCTGATAGCGCTGCAGACGCGCGTTCAAAAAGCATGGTAACCAAGAACGTCAAGCTCGTTGATGTGATCCAGGTGATGCTAGTTTGCCGGATCCTTCCGTGCCAGCGCCGAAGCCGCCCTCCATGGGGGTTCAATCCGAAGAAGCACCAGACCCTGGTGAGGCTCTTCGAGAGTACTCACGAAGCTGCATGGAAGTTGCTCTTTAAGGGCAATGAGAAACCGCCGGCCGCAGATTCAGATCGCGGGCACGACGCTATACGCCTTGCTAGCGAGGTATGTCATTTTTTATGCATTCTCCACTTGTTTGTTTCAAGGATGATGCCTGAGCTTTTATTGTTTGCTTTTTAGGGACTGGACGAAGAGGGCGAAGCGGATCCAGTGTCCGGCCCTGATACGTCTCCAACGTATCTATAATTTTTGATTGCTCCATGCTATATTATCTACTGTTTTGGACTATATTGGGCTTTATTTTCCACTTTTATATTATTTTTGGAACTAACCTATTAACCGGAGGCCCAGTCCAGAATTGTTGTTTTTTGCCTATTTCAGTGTTTCGGATAAACAGAATATCATACGGAGTCCAAACGGAATAAAATCTTCGGAAACGTGGTTTTCTCACCGAACGTGATCCAGGAGACTTGGACCCTACTGCAAGGGATCAAAGAGGTGGTCACGAGGGTGGGGGCGCCCCCCCTAGGGCGCGCCCCCTGCCTCGTGGGCCCCTCGGTGCTCCACCGACGTACTCCTTCCTCCTATATATACACACGTACCCCCAAACGATCAGAACAGGAGCCAAAAACCTAATTCCACCGCCGCAACTTTCTGTATCCACGAGATCCCATCTTGGGGCCTGTTCCGGAGCTCCGCCGGAAGAGGGCCGTCATCACGGAGGGCTTCTACATCATCATAGCCTCTCCGATGAAGTGTGAGTAGTTTACCTCAGACCTTCGGGTCCATAGTTAGTAGCTAGATGGCTTCTTCTCTCTCTTTGAATCTCAATACAATGTTCTCCCCCTCTCTCATGGAGATCTATTCGATGTAATCTTCTTTTTGCGGTGTGTTTGTTGAGACCGATGAATTGTGGGTTTATGATCAAGTCTATCTATGAATAATATTTGAATCTTCTCTGAATTCTTTTATGCATGATTGGTTATCTTTGCAAGTCTCTTCGAATTATCCGTTTGGTTTGGCCAACTAGATTGGTAGTTCTTGCTGAGGGAGTCCTGGATTAGGGGGTGTCCGGATAGCCGGACTATACCTTCGGCTGGACTCCTGGACTATGAAGATACAAGATTGAAGACTTCGTCTCGTGTCTGGAAGGGACTTTCCTTGGCGTGGAAGGCAAGCTTGGCGATACGGATATGTAGATCTCCTACCATTGTAACCGACTTTGTGTAACCCTAGGCCTCTCCAGTGTCTATATAAACCGGAGGGTTTTAGTCCGTAGGGACAACAATCATACCATAGGCTAGCTTATAGGGTTTAGCCTCCTTGATCTCGTGGTAGATCTACTCTTGTACTACCCATATCATCAATATTAATCAAGCAGGACATAGGGTTTTACCTCCATCAAGAGGGCCCGAACCTGGGTAAAACATCGTGTCCCCTGCCTCCTGTTACCATCCGCCTAGACGCACAGTTCGGGACCCCCCACCCGAGATTGGTGCTTTCATTGAGAGTTCCTCTGTGTCGTCGCCATCAGGAAGGATGCCTCATCCCGTCTTTAAAGACGGCACCGTTGCTAAGGGAGTTTTGGCTGTCGGCCAAACTCTCCGGCTAGGTGGTTTCCTTATGATCGCCTGTTCGGCTACTGCACCGACGATGACCTCTCGGGTCATCGAAAGCAATCCTCACGTCAGCTCGGAATTCGCCGAGCAGCTAGATCCAATGGAGCTCTCTTCCCTAAACGAGCTCTTGGATCGCATCGCTGCCCTGGGAGTCGCTACGGATTACGACCAGATTGGGCCTAAACCTGATCTCAGAGAGATTAACTCTCCCAGGTCACCCATCACGTTGCCGTGATAGAGGGACAGTGCGGCGACCCTTCATCTATCTTAAGGACTAGCTATGTCCGGATTCCCGATCCCTCCAAGTCGGATACCCGCGGAGGGGAGGACATCACTCAAGACCTGAACTTAAAGTCAGGCGATGGGCTAGATTCATTGGACAACATCCAAGAATCCAAACTTCCGAGTTCGGAAACTCCTTGGCCCATGGGTCTCGGATTGGGTGAGGTTTCGGATTTGATTCCACCCACCCGTACATAAGCGATCTATCCCAAATTAGGCAAGAGCCCGAAGAAACAGTACATCATTATTGGGCCAGATTCCTCCTAGTTATGAATAGGATAAATGACTGCCGCGAGGAAGACACAATTTCATTCTTCTGCAATAATTGCACGGACAAGGGAATCCTCAACGCCATAAGTCGCCGTGATAGTACACGCTTCGCTGACTTGGTGTCCATAGTACGAAAGTACTGTGCGATGGAAAGCGCCTGGAAAACCGAAATAAAATTTTGGGACAATCCGGCCCTGAATACAAACCCAGTCCGAAATAAAAGGGTGCATCATCGCCAGACACCCGGGTTCAATACAAAAAAGCAAAAGCCCTCTACAGGGCACGGATCCGTACTAGAAGGATGGCTTAATGGACCCTGTAAAATTCACAGTGCAGAGGGCGCCACACCAACTTACAGCCTTAGAGCATGTTGGATACTCCGGCAGGTGGCAAAAATTGGCGAAGATCTTCTAATTCCAGAAGCCACAGAAAGCCACCCCAGAGAAACCAGTACGGTATTAACAGTCTTCGAGACTTTCGCATCAAATAATATGCGAAAAAGAACACTCCGCAGCCTTGCCGCAGTCTACCAAGTAGCAACAATAAACCCATGGAGTGACATGACTATTACTTTTAACGCCAGTGATGAACAACAGCCCGAGCACCAGCCGCATTGGTCCTTAGTCCAATAGTGGATGGCTTTCGCCTTACCAAGGTACTCATGGATGGCGGCAGCGGATTGAACCTCATTTATGAGGAAACCCTTCAAAAAATGGAAATAGTCTGGAACCGCATTGAGCGAAGCAGCACAACCTTTAGAGGAATAATCCCCAGTCGGGAAGCGCGCTATACAGGAAAAATCACACTAGATGTGGTGTTCGGCACGCCGGATAATTACAGGTCCGAAGAGGTCACGTTCCAGGTGGCCCCTCAGTAGCGGATATCATGCTCTGCTAGGGCGGGAATCGTTTACAATCTTCCAAGCAATACCCCATTACAGGTACATGAAGCTCAAGATGCCCGGGCCTCACTCACTCTCGCTAGTGATCCGGACATAGCACTCCGCGCCGAAAACAAGACAGCCGCACTGGCCCTCGAGGCGCTATCCGAAGCCCTAGCGGCTGAGGAACTGACTGCACTGCGCTCCACGGTGAATAGGGACGATGTGATACTCGATAAAAGATCCAAGTCCACCTCCTTTAAACCGGCGGACGATATAGTCAAATTCCAGGTCCATCCAACGGACCCCAATAAAACAGCTTCCATCGGGGCACAGTTAAACCCTGATGTAGACGCCGCACTGCGAGAGTTCCTACGAGAGAACTGGGACATTTTCGCCTGGCACCCTTCAGACATGCCAGGAATCCCACGCAGGCTGGCCGAACACAGCTTAAATATCCTAAAAGGATTCAAGCCAGTTAAACAGGCTCTTCGGCGTTTTTCCGAACCTAAGAGACAGGCCATGGGAGAGGAAGTAGCCAAGCTATTGGAGGCCGCATTCATCAAAGATATAAAACACCCGGACTGGCTAGCAAACCTGGTGATGGTACCAAAGAAGGACAAATCATGGCGCCTGTGCGTTGATTTTAAAGACCTTAACAAGGCTTGCCCAAAGGATCCCTTCCCTCTCCCCCGCATCGATCAAATTGTCGACGATACTGCGGGACACGATTCGTTGTGTTTCCTCGACGCATACTCCGGCTACCATCAAATAAAGATGGCAGAGTCAGACCAAGCCGCAATGGCATTCATCACACCATACAGCCCATTCTGCTTCAACACAATGCCCTTCGGGCTCAAAAACGCCGGCGGAACATACCAGCGCATGATTCAGACATGTCTGGCAAACCAGATGGGCAAAACAGTGGAGGCATACGTAGATGATGTGGTCGTTAAAACAAGACATGTCGAATCTCTAATAGACGACTTGAGGCTAACATTCGATAACCTCCGAACATACGACATCAAGCTCAACCCGGAAAAATGCGTTTTCGGCATTCTAGCCGGAAAGCTCTTGGACTTCATTGTATCCGGTAGAGGAATTGAAGCAAATCCAGCCAAGATCCGAGATCTGTCACAATTGGATATCCCGAAGGACCTCAAACAAATGCAAAAATTAACCGGATGCATGGCGGCTCTAAGCCGCTTTATCTCCCGCTTAGGAGAAAAGGCCCTACCCCTTTACCGCCTCCTTCGGTGCACCGAACACTTTGAGTGGACGGACGCAGCCACGGCCGGACTCGACGAAATAAAAGCCATCTTGGCAACGAACCCAGTCCTGGCCGCGCCAAACATTGGCGAACCAACGAGAAACGGATGGACACAAATTCCCCCTTCAAAAGCCGGTCTACTATGTGTCCACTGTCCTTACTCCGTGCAAGTCACGGTACCCGCATTATCAAAAGATTGCGTACGCGGTATTTATGGCATCCCGGAAGCTGCGACACTACTTTCAAGAGTGTCCAATAACAGTAGCCTCGAAAGTGCCACTTAACGATATTATAAACAACCACGACGCGACGGGCCAGATTGCAAAATGGGCCATTGAGCTCCTCCCGTTCGACATAACTTACAAGCCACGACGAGCTATCAAGTCGCAAGTTTTGGCCGACTTGGTCACAGAATGGACGGAGGCCGAACTCCCTAAAGAGTACGGCACATATTCAAAATGGGTCATGCACTTCGACAGCTCCAAAATGTTGGCTGGTCTAGGGGCTGGCGTCGTTTTGACGTCCCCACAGAAGACACAGTTCAATACGTACTCCAGATAATGTACACAGACTCCAACAATGCAGCCGAATATGAGGCCCTTTTACATGGTGTCCGGATGGCAGTATCCATGGGCATTCAACGCCTAGAGGTGCGCGGGGACTCGAACCTCGCAATATCCCAAATAAATGGAGACTTTGATGCCAAGGATCCAAAAATGGCAGCTTATCGCAACACCGTCATAAAGATGTCAACTCGGTTCGAAGGGCTCGAATTTCACCATATAGCCCAGGAAAATAATCAGGCGGCAGATGCCCTGGCACGCATCAGCGCAAAAT